GAGTGTGGCGGAGGAGAGGGCGGTGGATGTGATGGGTGTTGAGGAAGGTGACGTGGATGCCGGAAAGACATAAGAGTTCGGCTAACTTGAGAGCACAGTTAACCGGGCCTTGGAATGGTATCGGAAAGATTAGCACATGAGGTTGGAAAGCCACGTTTTCTTGGTCCATTTTGGATCGAATTTTAGGGATTTTCTTTTTGATAGTTGTATATATGTGTAAATGGAGGTGAAATCAACAAAATTAAATATTGGTTTTAAAAAAGAATGGAAATAAATGAATCTGGTCTTTTACAAGTCGAGAAAAGCCACAGGAAGAAAGGGTCGGAGTCGTTGCAATGCAAGCCTTAACTATCACTTCTTGCTTTTATTAATCTTATTTTAAATCAAAAACATGTTTGCCTACTTCATCAATACATAATTTAATATATATATATATATATATATATATATTATGGAGGAGTTGGTTTAAATGTTAACTAAGTTTATTGTGTTAATTTTATTAACCAATCTTGGTAATTGATCTTTGAAATTTGTGGTTAAGATCATTTATGATATGAAATGTAATTAATTGTACATATAGACAAGGTAACATAAGTGAACAATATTTAAAAGGGGTATTTTAGAAAAAGATTTTATTTGTCCATTAATGACAATGAAATATTTTGTAATTGTCCATTAATAACGATGTAACTATCTGAGAATTAATCTTGTCATCGAATCAAAACCAACAGCAAGATCTCTGACACCAGATTCTTCTATAGTTTTTTTGGTTGATGATTCACATATCGAACAAGTATTCAATGTTTATGGGAATTGTTCATATGTGAACATGGGTGTATATGGAAAAAAGTCGTAAACGACACAAGTGTGCATATATGTCAATCTGTGTTTGTATATGACACAAGGATTCATATATGCAATTTGTATTCATAATTGACACAAGAGTTCATATATGTCGAGTTGTGTTCATATGGTTGTACGAATGTTCATATATGTGAAT